GCCCCGCTGCGGCTGGTGCGCCCGGGGGGGGCACAACGGCGGCGGCCGCTGCCTCGAGGGGGGGCTCAGCGGGCCCCGGCACGGTGAGAACTCGGGGATTCGGGAATTTTGGGGAAAATTTGGGAATTCTTGGGCAAGATTTGAGGGGGTTTTGGGGCGTTTCGGGGGGGTTAAAGGGNATCCCGGGCTCACTTCCGGGTTACCTGCCCAGGTGTGCCCCAGGTGTGCAGGGCCAGAGGGGGGTGGTGTTGGGACCTCCCTTGGGGGGGGTTGGGGCCGATTTTTGGGGCAATTTTGGCGGTTTTTGTTGAATTTTGGGGTTTTCGGTTGGAATTTTGGGTGGTTTTTTTTGGAATTTTGGGAATCCCGGCCTCACTTCCGGGTTACCTGCCCAGGTGTGACGCAGGCCTGCGGGGCCGGGGGGATCTGGGCCTTCCTGAGCTGCCCCCCCGAGGACGAGTGCGAGAACGGGCACCACACCTGCGGCCCCAGCCAGGTGTGCCGCGACCTGCCCGAGGGCTTCACCTGCGCCTGCCGGGCCGGCTACAGCGCCGACAGGTGAGGGACACACCTGGACAGGTGAGGGACACACCTGAGAGCTCAGGGACACACCTGGGGGCTTCACCTGCGCCTGCCTGGCCGGCTACAGCGCCGACAGGTGAGCCGCACACCTGGACAGGTGAGCCACACACCTGGACAGGTGAGGGACACACCCAGGGGCTGCACCTGCGCCTGACAGGTGAGCCGCACACCTGGACAGGTGAGGGACACATCTCAGGTGGGACAGGTTTATCTCAGGTGTGCCCCAGGTGCAGCTCAGGTATCCCAAGTGTATCTCAGGTGTATTCCAGGTGTATCTGAGGTATCCCAGGTGTGCCCCAGGTGTGCCCCAGGTATCTCAGGTGTATCCCAGGTGTGCTCCAGGTGTGCCGCAGGTATCCCAGGTGTGCCCCAGGTGTATCTCAGCTGTGCCCCAGGTGTGCCCCAGGTAACTCAGGTGTGCCCCAGGTGCCCCTGGCTAACCCAGGTGTATCCCAGGTGTATCTCAGGTGTGCCCCAGCTGTGCCCCAGGTGTGCCCCAGGTGTATCTCAGGTGTGCCCCAGGTGTATCTCAGGTGTGCCCCAGCTGTGCCCCAGGTGTGCCCCAGGTGTATCTCAGGTGTGCCCCAGGTGT